ATATATATAAATATATTACGATATTGTAAGCGATCGTTTCGTATATATTAGAAAAAAAGAGAGAAAAAGAGAGATGATGAGCGAGGCGATTTTCAAAGAAATTAATTAGTCATGGAAGTGAAAGAGAGCGAGAGAGACATTTTACCGAGCACTGAGAGTAATAACGATGGTGAAAAAAAGAAAAAAATAGTCTTCGAAAAAAAAAAGTATACAACTCGTCGAGAATCGAATGACGTAGATGTACACGCGATATTTTCATCACAGTTTATTAAAGCTGTTTTTCCCAGTCCTGTTCTGCGTCATTCGATTCTCGTGGATCTGTATAATATCTGCGTGACGAACAAAAATACAACAAGCGTCGTGAGTCATTTGCGTCGCATCTTTCCCATTTTTTCCCTCTATACACTTCTCACTTCCAATCTCCTGTTGACCTATATATGCTAGTCCGATATCAGGACGAGCCCCATTGGACTTTTGGACAACGAATGTATCACTCGGAAAACTCTACGAGAATGAATTTCTAAAATTTTCTCACTTAATCCCCTACCTTTCTCCTTCAAAAATATAAAAAGTATGTACTATATCTCGGATAATTAAGTCAATGGAAGCATCAAGTTACAAACACTCATAGCGACGATTGTCATATGTGATGATGTTACTTGTCGATCGTTGCCGATATATTATATTTACGTGAAACTTCATTTTTTGTTTTAAATAAACGATACGATTAAGAAAATTTAAAGGCCAAACATGTACTATACATAAATAGATAACAATGTAGCTTTAACAATACTTTCCAATTCCCTTTTTTTTTTTTTTTTCTATTGACAATACTTTGTTTATATTTTTGTGACCAAGCAAGTGACTTGCGGACGTTTGTCTTTTCAATACTTGATTAAATTAGAGCGTGAGAGTGCGATTGAACGAGATGTTGCTTCTTGAATTTTGTCGTTACTATATTTTAAAAGTATTTTTTCACTACAAATTTGATGGTAATTTCAAGTAGCACGCAAACAACGATAATTGTTAACTTGAAGGATTTGAGCCAGAAGCGCGACGTCGTTTCGTCAGACACGTTTTTTGATACGTTTTACCGAAAATGAAAAATAAAAAAAAGCATGCGAACCACTTCCCTTTAGTCCTTCTTCCTTTATTAACATGTTTATGCGAATAAACGATAATCGGTTCCATTGAAGAGTCATGTGCACAACTACGAACCTTACTTTCGAAAAAAAAACTTTTGTTATGAATAAAAGTGCATCGTACGAAATGTATAACTCATTAAAAGAGAGAGAGAGAGACAAAGCGAAAAATATGAAAAAAGTTGGAGAAGCATTGATGAGCGAGACATTTCGTTTTCTTTCACTTCGAATTCAAAGCCCGAAGACATGATACGCGTCGTGTGAATAATGTGCGTGTGAGACGTAAGTAAAGGTAGTCCAAGAAAGTGAGAGAGACGTCGGGGATTCCCTTCTTTTCCGACCAACGACAGTGAAATTCATGCGGTGTGCGACCATACAAGGTACTATACCTAGCCCAATGGAATTTGAATTCTTCAGTGATTCTTCTATAGGCGATTCTCTTTTTTTGCGTCGTCACGTTTTCCTTGATATCCTTTTCTTTTCTTTTTTTTTTTTTTTTCTTATTGCGAGAGAAAACGAAAGAAAAGAATCACACGAAAATCATTCGTACGTGGACTTGACAAAGAAAAATTAACATTGTGATGTTCACCGATCAAATAATATGTTTAACAATAAAAGTGAAAAAGGACGAGGCCCACTGGTTGAGGCCCGACTTTGTTTTTTTAAGTGAATTATGATTAATAAACAATATGTAAAATTTATATTCATTCATTGTGTTTTTATTTGCCTTATCCTTGAGATCCTTTTTCTTTCCAATCAGTTATCATCGGTATAAGGATAATGTATAATTTTTTAATTATTTTAAATGTTACTAGACATTTACATTCATTAAAATATAATTTTTCTTTTTGAATTCTACATTAAAATAAAACATTTTTTTTATTTTTTCATTTACAATAAAAAAATTAAATAAATTATACTAATTTTCTTTTTAAA